TTCAGATATTACACGTAATTGCATTGTTTGAGTGTTAGTAAGCAGGTTTAGATCGACTGATTGCCTGTCTTGCTGTGTTTTAGATATTGTGTACAAGTGTGTTAGTAATACATTGAATTATTGTGTGATTGACCTAAATTTATTTTAACTTTCCACATTGTTCTGCGCAGACCGCGACATTATAATTAACCAGCCAGTTATATTAATCTCTCACGTAGTACATTCTGTATAAGGGAGGGTTACAAAAATTTTTTATGACAGTCCTCGCCAGTGAAATTAGAATTTTCTCGTTCGTTTATCTTCCTAGCGATATCGCCCCAAAAAAGTCATTTCTTTTTATTTGGAGTAGCATGATACTCGGAATTTCTTTGTTTTCGTGCTGAGCGTCAGTCCACTCGACAGAAGACATTTTTTTACATGGTGAGAAGATTCTCTAGGAGTGCCTGTTTTATAAAGAAATATCGAGTGATGTGTTAGATCATTGCGAGGTTAATTAATTTGATCATATTTTTCCTTTGTAAATAAATTATATACCATTCATATTGAGGTGGCACGAAACTAACCGAGAAATGATATGTGTTACTATTTGGATGAATTATCCTTGTGCACTATCCGTCATCCAAGATAGTTGTTTATTCATCTTCGTGTTTATGGATGATGATGGATGAAGGTAAACAAAAGAGAAGATATAAAATAATTCCTTTTGGGCCGAAATAATAAAATAGGTCATTTTTTTCATATTTTCTTCTTTATATTTGCAATAATCCTAATAATAATAAATAATTTAGTGTAGTGGAATATCAAAAGTGATAAGATACGCCAAAGCAGTAATATATCGCTATTGACATTCCTACATTAAACTTTGTCAAGGAAAAAAAAGAAATAGTTTATTAAATTTTTATTAAAGTTAAATCAAAAGTCTGTTCAGTTTTGGTAGTGTGCAAGCGTTAATAAAGATACTTTTACTCCATTTGCTCATCGTACCTTCAGATATTACACACATACACGTAGCTACATAAATCGCGATTGTCAGTAAGCAAGTTTAGATCGACTGATTGCTCTTACTACGTGACAATTTATGTAGAAATAATCTCAAAATGGTTCAATAATAATAAATTGGAAATCTTTGCAAATCCGACACCATCTATATTTGATTTCTAATATAAATCATCACAAATGGAATATATTGTATGCCATAATAAATAACAAATTGACGAATTCATTCTTTTTTTTTCATTTTTGGGTACTCAAACTTGAAACGACTCCTTAACATATGTTCATTATAATGATTCATGTAAAAAATCACGCTACAAAACTGTTCAGAATTTTCGAATATCATAAATAAAGAAAAAATTTTTCAGAACAGATTGACATCATGTATTTGAGTATATAAAGAAAGCCGGGTCAACAATCTCAAGACCAAGCAAAAAAAGTTATACCATACTTTTGAAAATATAATAATCTTTTTTTACATAACATTTTATTACGTTCAACATGCAATATTCTATTGTCTTTCGTAACCTTATATTCATCTTTTTTCTCATCTTTTTCATAGTTACTCCTCATATGACTCAAGGTAAGCTCTCTATTCTTGATTATATGTTGAAATATTTGATGATTTCTGTTGTAATAATTTTGTCTAAGATTCTCGTATAAAAAATTCATAGCATACTACACTGGGATTGCAGCTAATTGCGCGGGAGTCTTTCACGTATATGTAACGGATTGTAATGGAAAAGTGATACGTGATAAGGGAAAGGTTAATTGCGCCCAGGAACACGTACTTGATTGGTATGATGCCCCAAGTTTGTATTGTGTTCATCTGTTACCGCAATTACGTCCTAAAGACAATCGATACAAAATGGTTCAAGGTAAAGATTCATGTTTTGAGTTGCGTGGTGACGAGTTTAATTGGACATTCAAAGATGACGACAACTTGTCTAACTGCAAGCATTAGTTTATTTTTAGGTTTGTTTTTTTTGTTTTAGCATTTATGTGTAATTACCCATTTATTTATACAGTTCCCGAAAAATAATTATAATTATATATTTTTTATTACAGCATTACATAAAATTTTACCAATTATTATTAGAATATTTTACTATATTTACAATTAATTGATGAATAGTATTAAGTTTATTTTATTTAAATAAGTGAGTTTTATTTTTATTAAATAAAGAGACTATGCATTTTTACCCTACCCATCGAAGTTAGAACAGGTAATTGATGGGACAAAATTGAATATGAGAAAAATTAGGGTATTGACAGACAATCAGTCGATCTAAACCTGCTTACTAACACTCACAAACAATGCAATTACGTGTAATATCTGAAGGTACGATGAACAAGTGGAGTAAAAGTATCTTTACTATATGCTTCGTACACTGCCAAAATTTGGAGTAACTTGCTGAGAAATATAGAAAAGTTTATTAAAATTTATTAAAAGAATAGATCAATAGAGATATATTAATGCGTTGGCGTATCTTATCCCTATTGCTATTCCGATACACAAAATTATTTATTACTATTTAAAATTTAAAACTATTACGAAAATTATTTATTATTATTAAAGACTATTTGTATTACTAAGATTATTTGGGAAATTATTTATTATAAAAACATAAGAAAAGTAATTATTAGGATTATTTGTTATTAAAATTATTAAAAAATTTGTTATCAAGGTAAAATATTATATGAATTTTAAAAGTTTCGCCAGAGAAGAATCTCTTTTTCTTTTCTTCCCCGCTGCAGCTATTTTTATAATTTTTCTTCTTGTTTACCTTCTTCCTCTGTCATCCATAAAACGTTTTTGTGCCAGGATGAATAAACAGTTATCCTGGATGATGGATGACACACAAGGATAATTCATCCAAATAGTGACACATATCATCCTCTATCATCCCCCGTAACTCCGGCTATTTTCGTGCCGTCTCAGTATATAGCTAATCGCTACGTATGGAATTAGGGTTCCGATTTCGGTTAGTTTCGATTAATTTAGAAACTTGTGAAAATGGCCTAGATTTTAGAAATAACGAGAACTCGTGACGAGACATTTCGGTGATTTAAAAAATTGATTTCAATAATTATGAATCTAAATACTCAACCACTATAATATAACTTAAATTGATTAGTTTATAATGACCAAAAAATTGTTATATGATATTGAAACAATAATTATGAATCATTGCTGTAATATATATTGATTAGAATGTAATTTAATGCATGTAATTTATTATTAATAATAAATTATGATTTTAAAATAAAGTCAAGTATAATGTAACTCTTCTGATCCTCCCGATTCTTCCGATTCTTCCGATTCTCCAGTTACTTTCATTTCTTCCGTTTTTCTCGTTTCTTCTATTTCTTCGATTTCTTTAATTTCTTTAACTTCTCCCATTTCTTCTCTTCAATTTCTTTAAAATCTAAAAAAAGATTTCGTCTCGCACGCACTTGTACGACAACAATTATTGTAAAAGTTATATTAAAATTATTTATACTCTTAAACTTTTCTGTCAAATAAAAAGAGCTAGCAAATACTAGAGCATTAATATTATAATACTTATTAATTTCGTCTTCTTTTTTTTAACCATATGCCCAGGAGTTATTGCTTCCTCTTATTCTGCTGCTATTGTATTATTGTTAATAATAATATTGTTAGTGTTAATAAAAGCTTTCTATTTCGACATTACATTATTATTACAAGTGCTATTATTATTAGTGATATTATTATTAGAGATAATAATAACATTATCGGCTTTATTATTAACATTGTTGTAGTTATTGAAATAAAGGAAAACCTGTCAGTTTTTGAATTTTCTTTGAATTTGCCATGATTAACTTTTTTTAAAAAAATTTTTTAATGAAAATTGAAAGAAATAAAAAAAGAATTCGGTAGTTTATACAGATTAACTTTTGGGATTTTTATCAAGTTGTAATTTTTTAAACAAGATAAACAAAATCATAATGTGACGAAATTACGAAATGAAAATAAATAAAATTAAAAAAAATAAATATAAATATAAAAATACTGAATGTAAATAACAATACCTCTAAATATCAGCACTATATTTTTTTAACATAATTTTTCGGATAATTGTTTATTTATTAATTGTTCTTATTCTATTTTTTAAAAACTTTTAATCTTGAAGATTGAAAATATTATGATACCTGCCGTAATTCTTCTGAAATATTGGAACATAACTTTATCGTCACTACTCAATTTAGTCCTTTATACTCAAATTACGGCCAAATTAATAATCATATATATGTAAAAACTGCAAAAACAGTATTTATTCTAATTTCTAAAAATAATTCTTATTGTTTCGATGCTTTAGGGTCTCTTCTTGCTTAAAGCAGATTCAAATGTAGAAAGAAATATCCGATGAAAATTCTGGTTTTTTGAAAGAGTTTGCTTAGAAAGGAACCCCCCGAAACTGGGTGTCATCCTAAGAAGAGATCTAAAAAGAGCGTACTAAGGCCAATCACATCTATTTGGGATGTACTGTCAAATATATATTATAAATAACTTGAATTTTATATTTGTAGTAATATGATATCATCTATTGAATTTTTTAGATCCTTCGTTATATTCCTTTACAATATAAAAAGTAGCACTTGGATTTCAAGTTATAATCCTACTATTACTAACAACCCATCTTCTTACCTACCAAGTCTAATATTTATATTAAAATTATTATTTTTACAAATCATGCATTAATTTTTTAAAAAAACTGAACCTAAATTTCAAAGAATATTTGATAGGGAAAATTCTAAGCTATCAGATGACCTTGATAAATCCAAGAAGAATAATAATTCATATGATCAGGTCCAACTATAATGGTTTCTGGTTTATAGCATAAAAAACATTTTTTTTTGAATTTGATTCTTTAAAAATTCGTGTTCTTAATTCTTTCTTACATGATGACGCCTATACATGCATGTCATCAAAAGTGAAAAGTCTTTGACTCAATTCCTGAAATTTTTAATTGCGTCTATATAATTGTGTCAAATAATTGCGTCAATTGCGTCAATTTTTCATAATTTTAAATGCGTCTGACGAAATTCAATAGTTTTTATGAAATGTATAAGACGCCATATATTAGTATTAATAATTTCATGAATTTAATACATTTTTGGTAAAATTATTTCACTGTAAATCATATTAAAACATAAGATAACCATTTTTAATAAATAAATAAAATTAGCATTGATAGCACTCAAAAATGTATTATTCTTTTTCGTTGTCTTAATCACTCCAGTTAAAAAAAAAGTAACCTTAAGAATATATAATTCTCTATGCTTTTCAAATTTCATCAGTATAATCATGAAATGATTTTAGAGACCTTTTGAAACTGAAATTTATATTCTGTAAAGGAGCAACAAATAAGCAACATCTTACTCCTCGAGTCTATATTTCATTGCTTATTGATATTTTTTTTTATTTTCAAGTAAAAGTTGTTTTGCTTAATACATTTGTCATCAGTTGGCATCTTTTATATTGAGAGAGAATAGAATCTGATGACCTTTTCTTTTCTATGAATTGCGTTTGCATCACAGAAGTCTAGTCTCTATAAAATAATTTTTGTTTTTTTGCCGCAAAATTTTCATTAGGTATGATGAAATCGACCCATGTGCGCATATGTAAATTATTTGTAATTTTTTAATGACACTGCTTTTATGCAAAATTTTAATATTTCAGTATTTCGTCTTTGAAATGATTTTTTTTTATTTTTTTTTTCTACCTGTTTTGATAATTGTCATTTCTATAATATAATAAATGAAATAATCAAATTTTCACCTTGAAAATTTCGATTTTGTCATTTCGGTTGCAAATATAAACCATATAAAAATATAAAAAAAAAGGAATATAAATCATACAAACTATACAAACTATATAAACTATAAATTATGTAATCGATTATAAATTATTCATTATGCATTTTTATGCTGACTTTCCTTAACAACGACTACTGTACAATGACAATGATGAATGCAATGATCACTCACAGAACCGAGTAACATTCTAAAAAATTTTTAATTTGAATATTTAAAATTATTTTTATTTTTTTTTTTTTTGTTTTTAACAATTAACTTTTTATTTATTTTTTTTTATTAATGTAATTTCTTAATAATGGAAAATTGAAAATATAACTAACCGTTTTATAGCTCCTAAACCACGATACCCAAGAATCAAAACATCAGCCTTAAGTTCGGAAACTTTGCGAACAATTTCATCACGAGCGTCTCCTCGTGTGGCTATTGCTTTACATGCAAACTAAATAAAGGTTTAGAAAATATAGAATTTTAAATATGTATAAACAGAAAATATTACCTTTTCAGCCTTTAACTTTGCCGCGAATTCATGAAGCAATTCATGACTCTCAAGTTTATTCTAAAATAATACTTTTTAATAATAATAACGGTGCAGTAGAATAATATATACGATGTTATGAATACAAACCTGATCTTCTAAACTAGTCATAACATCACTGAAATTTAAATAACCGGCAGCTGCAAGAAGGAATGAATTATAATTAAATTTTTTTATTGTTTTATCAATTTGCAATTAAATGTAATAGATTTTATTATTACCGAATGGACCAGGTTCTGATGGAATTTGTCGAACATTAACTAATACAACCTTTTAATTTAAAAAAAAGGGGGTTTAGAATTAAAATTTATAATAATAACAGCATAACATACATATAATAATAATTTTACCAAATCAGATTCTCTTCTCAAAAAGTTATTTACAGCCCAATCAAATGCATAACGACTGTAGTCAGATTGATCAATAGCGATTACCACAATACGAGTAAAATCTTTATCGTCATTAGTAAGAATTAGATCTTCTTGTATCGTAATAACTGTTCCAGTAGTGTCTGTTCCGGTAGGCGTTTCTATAGGGAAAGCCATTTTTTCTTTTTTTTTTTTAGTATGGAGATACGTGAGAATTAATTAAAGAATTGAGTTAATACCTTTCCTTTATATATTGATAGAATAACTATGACGATATGTAAATGACTAACGGGGAAAAATGATGACGAAAATGAAATCATGCCATATTTATGCAAAGCTTGAATCAAATGGAAATGATGTAATCATTACGCAACCATAAAATTAAAATAAATTTTTTTAAATATATGTACTGTATATACAAATATTAAAATATGAATAAGTTTTGAAATTGAGTTGTCCCGAAAAATTATTTATTAAGCATCAGAATTTTTAATGTTAGGTAATTAAAATAAGAATTGGTAATGATCTTTTATAATACAGAAATTAAATATTCTATAATTTATTATTTTAGTATAGATTTTACCCTATTGTTATTCCTTTTTCGGTGAAGTCACGGCACAAAATACCTTCACCCAATTGGTGAGT